ATATATAACTAATAACTGTCAAGTAATATATATACACAACAAGAATTATATCTGGCCAACACAAAAATAACCAAACTCTAGCCCTAACATGTATCATTATGTGTAAGAGAAGAGCTACAAATACTTTATGTTTTCTTTATAAAACAAATCACAGACACAAATGGTTAAAGAACCCGGAAAAAAAGACACAATTACTCATATAGGGAAGGTCCTTGCAAGCAAATCTTTGGTTGAAGTCTCTTATTCTTCTTTTAGGAGAAATCCTTTTTGTTAAAAAGAAATAAGCAACTGACACTGAAGTATTTAGGAAAATTTCAAAAAGAAAAGAGAAAAAGTAAAACCCTAAGGACACAGCTTCAAACAAGAAATATTGCTGGCCCATTATAATCGCAGCCCTACTCCTCAAGTTGGGTAAAACTATAAAGACCTGATCATGCTCACCTTCATCCTCATCATCTTCACGATAGAGGATAGGGCCGTCCTCGTCGTCATCATCCACCCGTGACTCTTGTAAGGAATTTGGGAGGACAGTGTTGGGAGGGAGGTATGTGAACGGGACGCTGTTTTCCTTGTTTTCCCCCGACGATTTGTCTCCACCATCCCCTCGGCTGTAGGAAAATTTGATGGGCTTCGTGCTGTGGCGAGACAGAGTATAATTAGTAAGGAATAATGGTATATGGGAGAGAAGCTACATCTATGAATCTTTTCTTGAAAACAAATTTTGTCACATGGCTGCCAGTAAATGTCACTAAGGAAAATGCTAAAGCAGAGTTTCTACAGCAAAGACTTTCATTGAATATTTCATTTCAAAAACTAATTCTATGAGAGTCACATGGAGTGAAAGTTCCAATTAAGATTAAGAAGATAATATCCAATCCTTGATCCAAGCTAATAATCTACCATTAACTATATTTCTTTATAAAAAAGAAGGACAAGATAATTTTTGGTCTATGAAGTTTCATTCTTAGTTGTTTTTATTTTAGGTGTAATACAGCTTAAGAAAGCTGTTTATTTCTCATTCTTTAGTTCCATTTCTCATGCATGATGAAATTGCTATTCTAAAGTAAGATAATGATTTAATTACATATTCATTTGATAACATCATCATGCATATTAAGTTAACATTGTTTTAGACAATACATATATTGCCATCTCACAAAAAAATAACTGTTATTTAGAGATATAAAGAGAAAGAAATACTTTTTATAGATAAATTTTCAGTGACTAAATCTGATAAACATTCTTAACAATATCAAGCATATGTGTGAGAAAGTGGAACAATGACACCAATTTGTGGAGGATCCACAACTGATGACGGTCCACAGATTCAATGCTATTGCCAAGTCAAATGAAGATGCAAAGGAAAAACTCATCTTGCATGCAGGCTCTGAGATCCCTTCATGCAAATTTTTGCATCATGCAAACTTATTGGACCTATTGGACCCTAACAGGAAATAAATCACAACAATTTTTTCAACTGCAGCTGAAATTAATATCCACCCAAATCTTTAGTCTTTCCATGATGAAATTACCTGAAGTCTCAGAATCTAGTTAAATTAACTCATAATGATATAATTTAAAATATCTAAAATCATTTGATTTCCTCCTATGGCAAAACAAAAACAATGCAAGTGTCATACTAACAGCTAGATCATCTACAGGCAATAATCACTAGAAGATTTCTGGGGGGGAGAGAGAGAGAGAGAGAGAGAGAGAGAGAGAGAGAGAGAGAGAGAGAGAGAGAGAGAGAGAGAGAGAGAGAGAGAGAGAGAGAGAGAGAGAGAGAGTAGAGAGAGAGAGTTAGAGAGAGAGAGAGAGTAGAGAGAGAGAGAGAGTTAGAGAGAGAGAGAGAGAGAGAGAGAGAGAGAGAGAGAGAGAGAGAGAGAGAGAGAGAGAGAGAGAGAGAGAGAGAGAGAGAGAGAGAGAGAGAGAGAGAGAGAGAGAGAGAAAGAGAGAGAGAGAGAGAAAAAGAGAAAGAGAAAAAGAGAAAGAGAAAAAGAGAAAGAGAAAGAGAAAAAGAGAAAAAGAGAAAGAGAAAAAGAGAAAGAGAAAAAGAGAAAGAGAAAAAGAGAGAAAGAAAAAGAGAGAAAGAAAAAGAGAGAAAAAAAAGAAAAAGAGAAAGAGAAAGAGAAAGAGAAAGAGAGAGAATGAATAAGCCCCCTATCCATTTTTTTCCATAATGTAAACAGCCAAACCCACAAAAAATTATATGAACCTCAAAAAAGATTTTATTTTCCTAAAATGAAAGAGCACCAAAGCGAGTGTTTGTTCTTCAGATTGAACTATGGAGAAGAAAGACTCTCCTTCAGAATTCACACAATGGTTTCCTGAAGAATGTTTCACGACGTCCCATTTTGGGCATGCAAGGGAACTCCCAGATGGGGTTAAAAGAAACTAAGACTTTTTCAGTAATTATAAGCCTTACATGAAACTAGACAGTACACAGCGAACTTGCAAGTGACATCATCTTGATCAAGATTTTTTAAATATCAAAAATATA